GCCTGACCACTGAGCCCCACTACTGTCCCACAAATGAAAACTTTGTATAGCCAAATATATACAATAAAAACAAAGGTAACAAAATGTCATATTCAGAACACAAAGTGCATAGAAGCCTGGAGTATGACTGTAAATATCTCTGCTGACTTTGTGAGCACAGATTGCAGGGACTTAACTTTGCATCACATGTTCATGACTCTCTGTTATCCACTTGATAACAAAGAGCTTGTGGATTTAGAGTCACTTACCCTTTGTGTTTCTAAACTCAGGTCTAGACAGTGGAAATGAGGATTCTGTCCACATCAGACAATTACCAAGGTCAAAGAAGGTGGCAAAATGATAGGATAGTGGTATCTCAAATATTGTTACCACTGTAGGCTGTTTATACACTTAAAAATGGTAACTTCCATTTCTTTTTTAATTCTTTTTTATAATTTATTCACTTTATACCTCAATTGTAGCCTCCTCCCTAGTCTCCTACAGGTCCCATCCTTCATCCCTTTCCTCCCTATCCTCTGCCCCTAGACCACAAAAAAGGGGGAGGCCTCCTCCCCTACCATCTGACCCTAGCCTATCAAGCCTCATCAGGACTGCCTGGATCCTCTTCAATTGTGTCCTGGCAGGGCCTCCCTGCCAGGGGGAAGATGATCAAAGAGTGCACAACAGAGAATATTTCAGAGATAACACCAGTACTCATTACTAGGGAACCCACATGGAGACTGAGATGCCTATGAAATATATCTGAGCAGAGGGTCTAGGTCCTCTCCATGCATGGTCCTTGGTTGGTGCATCAGGCTCTGCAGCCTCCCACTACTCCCTGGACCCTGGTTTTCAACTGACATTTCTTATGAAGTCCTGGAGGCAAGACGAGGGAGTACAAGATTATCAGTAGGAAACAAACATAAAATCTAAAGTGTAACCCATAGAAAAGGAAAGATCTAAGATTAAGTATGGAGATGAGGTCTTCTTCATGGGCCAGTACAAGATACATTGAAAATTAGGGAAAACTTGATAACTGTCTGTATTTGGGAGTCTTCAAGACAAGGAAGAAAGTTGTCTCTCTCATAACCTGACTCATGAGATTACTGAAAATTGATTCCATGTGGGAACATTGGAAACAGAGAAATGAAAGCATTTAAGTTAGCCCTGCTCCTTGAGAGGAAGTGTGCACACATGAGTCAGTATAGGAAAAAAACCCTTGATGACTGGCTCTTCAGGGTTACTGGGGACATCTTGCTATTTCTGGCTGATCTGTTACTGAATATAAGGGGCTGAAATATCCTAAAATATGGTCAGGCATGAGTGAAGGAGTTGAATACGTAAGAGTAAGCTTTTATTGTCCAGTTCACAGAGTGGCATAGGTGCGTCTTCACTGAGATATCAGGAGATATCAGGACTGGTTTGTTCTTTAGGTTATCTTAATCTACACCATGAGACATGATCAGGTATAAAAGACAGTAGAATTTTAATGATACATATTGCTATATATACAAAAAATATATTTGCCGTCATATATTTACCTCTTAAGAAAATGAAACAAAGTGAATATTTACCAGTGAGGACACTGGATTTCAGTGTCCATGGTGGCTGCATGGTCTCTGTGGCATGGTAACCTCATTGCATGCTCATTCTGATGGCCAAAAGCAGCCCCCCAGTCTTCCATCGCTGAGCTGGCGTGGGGTTTCCTGAGCCTGAAGCCGTATGCTGAATTCTGTTTAGTGCGTATCATTTAGTGGAACAAGGACTGTGGCTGGCGTGGATGGTCTACAGTGACATCGCCCGTGATTGCTGCTGAATTAGTAAAAATCCAACTGGTTTGTGTGGTTACTCTTAAAAGTGAGATGACTGGGGCCTAGTGCAATTTCCCCCTTCCATGTTAGCGTGTCCATTGTGTTCAGATTTATTTAGGTGGCCCTGTTGAGACTTCATCTGCCTAGCTTCCCCAGCATTTCTTGGAGATGCAGATTCACAGCAGATATCTGTTCCTCTGTCTATTCCAATCTTTCTACCTTCTTTATCACAATGTGTGAGCCTTGAGTGCAGGAGTATTATTGTGTGTGCTACAACTGGGGCTTGGCTTCACATGAACATTAGTTTTCTGCATGGTGATCAGACCTGGTTTTCCTATTTTCTGTCTTTTAATTAGACGTAGCTTTTGTAATGGTCTACTTCTTTTGCAATGTAACTTTCTTTCTTTAGAGGTTAGAGCTACAAGCTATGAAGAATTTCTGAGTGAATGTGAAAATATTCTTTCCTAGGGGAGAGACATCAAACTGGTTATCTAGCACTAAATGGTTGATCACTGAAATAATGTAAATACAAGTAACATTATAAGACTGATCAAATATACATATACATGTGAATGTATACATATATATGTACATACATATATATGTATATATATATATATATATATATGTTCATGTATATGTAGTGTGTGTGTGTGTGTGTGTGTGTGTCTAATAACATGTATATGTAGGCAGAGGCCCCTATTTGACGAGTAGCAATGAAGGTTCTTGGAAGGGGTGGGGTGGACAAAAGGTACAATGGTTTGATTATATTTTAATTAATAAAATTAAAGAAATGGAACTACATGTTACTAAAATATTTTCTATAACACAAATAACATTGTAATTACACAGAATAAGTAACTAATACAATGTTAGAAAAATAAAAGTGCATAATTGTTGGTGTGTAGTTATGTTTGCAGGTGTGACCCTTTTCCAATGTTTGCACTGGCATTCAAATATACTGTCAGGACATGACAGTCCTGGTTTAATTATGAGGCAACCCAAATATGATATTTTCAACATTTTCTTCCTTCAATTTACATTAATTTTTTATTTTGTATATTTTTTATTTATTATGTTTTATCAGCTTAAAATATGCAAGTTTCCTTATGGCATTTTTTATATGTAGAGTTTTGATTGACCCAACATTTCCTTGCTCCCTGTTTCTCTGCCCCATCTCAGCTTATATTGTGCCATGTCCATTATTCCTAATTTCACTTTCAAAGCACATATATATTTTACTCTCCTGCCCCTACCCACAGACACCCTTATCTCCTCAAAGTCTTCTGAATTCTATACACACTAACTCTCACATAAACACACACTACTAAATTAGAAGTATTAATTCATTCTTGCAGTAGAGCTATATGTCTTTCTGAATTTGGAACACATCACTTTCATACAGTAGATTCTATTTCTGCTGCAGTCATTCTGTATGGTGTTTAACAGTGCCAGTGTATGGGAAAGGGGAGAATGAAACTATCTCTATGTCGTTTGGTCTTATCTAATCTCTCCACTGTGTTTAAACTTCTTCAGATCCAAGAATTCACTGCCAATTCTTCCCCAGTTTATGATGGTGCACCTGGGTGTCCTTGCATGGCTTATGAGTTTGAGGGGCAACAGTGTCTGTTCTTGAGGATGCTCAGTTCATCCTGCTGCTAATTTAAAGCTTCTATTGCTTGCTTCTGCAAGGGGATCTCACCAACTTTAGAAGGGTTTGCAGACACTCTCTCTCACAGGAATCAAAATGGTGTTCTGAGAGTTTATCTTGTTGTGCCGCACTGCTGCACTTTCTAACACATCGCCCTCTTTTCTACCGTCTTCACACTATGCTTCTGAATGTTGTCTGATTCGCCCAGAAAAGGTTTCAAAAGACACAATGATCATTTCTGCTGTATACATCTTTCATCAGCTACTACCCTTCTCCTTATCATTTCTGCTAGTGTATTTTGTCTATTTTTATACTTTTGTGCATTCTGTGAGATTTCATCACACCAGATGTATAAATTTCTCTAATATTCCTGACCTTAGTGGGCATATGTGTGTGTTTGTGTTTGTGATGTAAGTTGTCACTTGAACCATCATTCTAAAATATTTTGTGCTTGTTATACATTTTTCTTATGTAAGACTATTGTAGGAAAAGACCCAAAATCCACTGAGCCTAACAAAAATCCCTATTTTGAGATTATGTTTATCAAGCTTGAGCTGCCTAGAAACAGTTCTCACACACCAGCATAAAGTGCATTTTACATGGAGATTTTAGATGCAAAGAATCCAGAAAATCTACATACTGCTTGACAGTTGTGAGTGAGGCCTCAAAGAAAGCACGCAATTTCCAAGAATCCAAAAAGATGCAGTTTGTGGACTTTTAGATGCCCACCATCAAGAATGAGGTTAGGGAAATTTTATTGATGAGGCAGAAAATACAGTTTCAATTTTATGTTAAATAAAAGATGTCTATAGCTAAGAAAAGATAGAGGGACCTTTGCCCTCTCATGAGATTATAGATATATTGTGAGTATAGTTATATATGTATCATTGCTTGTCTTTGAATTTTAGATAAGTAATACATTAATAATTGCTTTATTAAAGAAAACTGAAGATGCTCCAGTGAGTATCAAAAATTGGATTTTGATATTTTAATATTTTTATCTTCTTATTTTCTTTTGGAGAAGCTACAAGAAGGTGGTGCTTGAAAAATGGGGTAGTGAATGTGATCAGAGTGAATTATGTAAAACTGCTAAATAATCAATAAAAATAATACGTTGATAAAATAATTGCTTTATTTAAGTTTTATGATTCTCACTGAAGTTGATTTCTTTTACATTAATAGCACAATTCAGTATATTTGAAGATTTTACATTTTGTTTGTTCATTTTGCCTGTCACTTTTACTTTTTTATCATGGACTAATATCACATCACCCTGAATGCAGCATATTTGAGGAAATTTGATGCTTTCCTTCAATCAATATGTGTATTGAGAAATTCCAAAGTGTCAAACATGGATAGTAACTTGTGCAAATTTTTAGGATGAAACCTTATGTGGTCAAAATGAATTGTACTTCTGAGTTTAAAAGACCCTTTGATTCACCCTTTCTTTAATTCCATAGACAATGGCATCTTCTTTCATACCAGGCTACAATCAATTTCCATTATTCATTTTACCAGAGAAATAGGGAGCTAGAGTCTAAAAAAAAAAAATTGTGCTAAGTCACAAAATGGACTTCTGGAATCTGGCAATCAGAATTATTTTCTTAGTACAAAATACAACTGGAATTCTGGGAAATTTCTCTCTTTTGTTCTACTATCTAATTGTTTATCAAAAAGAATGCATATTAAAATCCACAGATTTGATTCTCATGCACCAAATGGCAGCCAATACCTTGATCATTCTCTCTTCAGGAGTACCTCAAACAATGGCAGTTTGGGGATTGAAACAGTTCTTGAATCATTTGGGATGTGAACTTATATTGTCCATTCAAAGATTTGGGCGAAGTATGTCCATTTGCACAACCTGCCTCTTGAGTATTTTTCAGGCCATGACCATCAGTTCGAGGAAATTCTGTTGGAAGGATCATATAGTCAAAGCTGTAAAGTACATTGGCTGTTACATTTCTTTCATCTGGGTCTTGTATATCTTGATAAATTTTATTTTCTTTGTGTACGCATTAATAAAAATGGATAACAAAAATGTGACAAGAGATTTTGGATACTGCTCTATTATAGAGAATGATAAAATAATTGAGATACTCTATGCAGCACTGGTGATGTGCCCTGAATTCTTTTTTTCTGTGCTCATTGCCTGGTCCAGTGGCTTCATGATTGTCATTCTGTACAGACACAAGCAGAGGGTTCAACATATCATGAGCGCTCATGGTTCCAGCAGAAACTCCCCTGAGTTCAGAGCCACCCAGAACATCCTGGCCCTGATGTCTACCTTCCTGGCTTTTTATACTCTCTCCTCGATCTCACGAGGCTGCATTGCTCTTTTGTATAATCACAATTGGTGGCTGATGATCATCAATCAATTCATTTCTCTGTCTTTTCCATCTTTTGGACCCTTTGTTCTTATGAATCATTACTCCAATATATCCAGGCATATAATGGTCTGGATAAGAAATAAAATTCACTTTATCTTATTTTAAGTATGTAAATGGTATGTTTTGTATTGTGTACAGTTGTTTTACAATTTCATTTTTTTAAAGAGTTTTTTTTTAAAGAGCTTCATTGTCTGATGTACCATATTTTCTTGATGCATTGTTTGCTGATAGACATTTAGGATGTTTCCAATTTCTGACTAGTGAAGCAATGAACATATTTGAACTAATATCCCTGTAGTAGGAAGAAGCTTCTTTGGGTATATGCTGAACAGTGGTATAGCTAGGTCTTGAGGTAGATTGGTTCTTGATTTTGTCAAGAACTACTATATTGATTTCAGTAGGCACTATGCTATTTTGTACACGTGGCAGAAGTTGAGGAGGGTTTCATTTAGGCCATATCCTCCCCACTATGAGCTGTCACTTGTATTAATGATCTTAGTCATTCTGACATGTGTAAGATGGAATCTCAAAGTAGATTTGACTTGCAATTTTCAGATGGTTCAGGATGCTAAACATTTCTTTAAGTGTTTCTCATTTGGAATTTCTCCATTGAGAATTCATTGTCTACCTGATTTTTATATTGGATTATTTGGTGTATTACTATCTAATTTCTTGAGTTATTTATACATTTTGGATATTAGTTCTCTATCAAGTGTACAGTTTGTTAAAAAATATTTTCTCATTCTATAGGCTGCCACTTTTTTCAAATACTAATGTCTTTTGCCATGTAGAAGTTTCTCAGATACATGAGGTTCCATTATTGTTGATCTTCATGCCTATATTAATATTGTTCTTCACAGAAAGGAGTGTTCTGTGACAGTACATTAAAGCCTGTTCCCCAAATTATGCTCTGCTGGGTTTGTTGTATCCAGTTTAAGTTGAGATCTTAGATTCATATGTGGTTGAGTTTGAAGGACACGTTCCATTTGCCAGCCTTTCTGTCAGAAATATTTTAAACAAAAATCAATATTCTGTCATAAATTCCACTGAGTGTCTAGGAAGCCAATCACCTTAGCGTAATAAAGGCTACAATAGTTCAAACCTACAACGATGGGTTAGGACCCAAGAAACTTACATGCAAACATCACACCTTTATTGATTAACTGCAGTAATATTTAAACTTCAGAAATATCAAGAAAATTTAAACAGTCATAATTGCGGCATAATCAGCAAGAGACAACTCTTAGGAAGGTATTTTTTATTTGGATCATATGCACAATAGGAATAGGTTGGGGAAAGGATGTAAACATGAGGAGAGAAGAAAATGAGCATAGTATAATGACAGAAACCTTGGAAGACTGGATAATAGTGGGCATGAGTTGGGGAAAGGTGTTCCAAAGACTCTATGAGTCAAGAGTATGTATTAAGGTTACTGAGGACATGAAAATACATAAAACAAGAGAAGCAAAGGATTTGGAGTAAAAATCAGAAGATGCAGGGGTGAATCCAAGATATTTGAGTTGGGAGGAGGCACAGAAAAAGAGTGTGGAAGACACAGGTGATTGAGAGTTGATAAAGACTAGGAAGGTCATGGTTATAGAACTTGAATTAATAAAAACAGAGAGTCACTCAGAGTTTGAAGGGTGGAAAACAGATTTAACAGAGTAGTGAGCTATGATGAGGCTTAGTAGATTTCTGGTGTCACAATAGTACAATGATGGCGGATGCAGACAATAGTTTCAGATGGACCCAGTCAAGCCTTTGAAACTTTTTCTGATCCTAGAAATTTGTCTATATTACAAAACACTCACCAGGATGTGACACATAAGGGCTTTCAACATGACTAGAACTCTTCCAGATATTTAGATATTAGATTTGTGTAATATTATTTCTCAGCCTGTCCTTGGAAGTGGTGATAAATGAAGCTCAATTTTTGTGTAATTAATGTGCTATCATAAAGAAGACCTAACACCCTAGGGGCACCATGCTAAGCTTAATTCTCCTTTGCATGACAACAGTGGTGGACTGCCCAGATAGAATGAAGGTATAGAGCCTTCACTGAGATCTGCCCATTTTACCAAAAGATATTTACAAATTCGTTATAAATACAATGAGAACCTTTATCCTATTATTATTATTATTATTATTATTATTATTATTATTATTAAAATTCACTTTGTATCCCTGCTGAAGCATCCTCCCTCATCTCTTTCCAGTCTCTCCCTCTCTCCTTCTTCCCCCTTTTCTCCCTCTCCTAGTCCACTGATAGAGGAGTTCCTCCTCTCCCACTATCTGACCATAGTCTATGAGGTCTCATCTGGACTGAATCCTCTTTCTCTGTGGCCTAGAAGAACCCAGTCTGAAGTACAGATTCCAGGAACAAACAGCAATGGTTACAGTAAGCAGATGGCTAGAGTTTGGAGTAAGTGGCTGGATACAAAATTAACTCAAAAAAATCTGAAGTCTTTCTTATACAAAAAACAAACAGGCTGAGAAAGAAATTAGAGAAACAACACCCTTCGTAATAGTCATAAATGACATAAAGTACCTTGGTGTGACTCTAACCAAGCAAGTGAAACAGCTGTTTAAAAAAAAAAAACAACAAAAAACTTCAAGTCTCTGAAGAAAGAAATTGAAGAAGAAATCAGTACATGGAAAGATCTCCCATGATCATAGATTGGTAGGTTTAATATAGTGGAAATGGTCATCCTGACAAAAGCAGTCTAAAGATTCAATGCAATTCTCATCAAAATACCAATACAATTCTTTACAGACCTTGAAAGTTCTGAACTTCATATGGAAAAAATATTGCAAAAACAATCCTGCACAACAACAGATTTTCTGGAGATATCTCCATCTCTGATCTCAAGCAGTACTACAAGGCAATAGTAATAAAAACTGCATGGTACTAGCATAGAAACAGAATGGTGGATCGATAGAATTGAATAGAAGACCCAGAAATAAACCCACATACCTACGGATACTTGATTTTTGATAAAGGAGCCAAAACCATACAATGGGAAAAAAAGGCAGCATCTTCAACAAATGGTGCTGGTCTAACTGATGTCTACATGTAAAAAATGCAAATAGATCCATATTTAACACCCTGCACAAAACTAAAGTCCAAGTGGATCAAAGACCTCAACATAAAACCAGACACTAAACATGTTAGAAGAAAAAGTGGGGAACAGCCTGGAACTCATTGGCACAGGAGACAACTTCCTAAACAGGACAGCAACAGCACAGGTTCTAGGATCAAGAATCATGAAATGGAGTTCATAAAACTGAAAAGCTTCTGTAAAGCAAAGGACACTGTTACCAGAACCAAAGACAGACTACAGACTGGGAAAGGATCTTCACCAACTCTATATCTGACGGAGGACTAATATACAGAATATATGAAGAACTCAAGAAGTTAAAAAACAACAAATCAAGTAATCTAATTAAAAAATGGGGTACAGAGCTAAACAGAGAATTCTCTGTAGAGGAATATAGAATGGCAGAGAGACATTTAAAGAAATTCTCAGCATCCTTGCTCATCAGGGAAATGCAAATCAGAACAACCCTGAGATTTCACCTTACACTCATCAGAATGGCTAAGATAAAAAACTCAAGTGACAACACATGCTGGAGAGGATGTGGAGAATGGGGATGGATGCTCCTCCATTGCTGGTGGGAATGTAAACTTGTACAACCACTTTGGAAATCAATCTGGTGCTTTCTCAGATAATTAGGAATAGTGCTTCCTCAAGATCCAGTGATATAACACTCCTAGGCGTATATCCAAAAGATGTTCAAGGACATTTGTTCAATCATGTAATAGCCAGAACCTGGAAGCAACTGAGATGTCTCTCAATGAAGGAATGGATACAGAAATTATGATACATTTATACAATGGAATACTACTCAGCAATTAAAAAGAAGGAAATCATGAAATTTGCAGACAAATGGTGGGAACTAGAAAAGATTATCCTGAGTGAGGTATCCCAGAAGCAGAAAGACACACATGGTATATATATTCTCTTATAAGTGGATATTAGACATATAATATAGGATAAACATACTACAGTCTGTACAGCCAAAGAAGGTAAGCAAGGAGGACCCTGGGTAAGATGCTCAATCCTCATTCAGAAAGGCAAATGTGATGGACATAGGAAGAGGGCAAAAATGGAACAGGACAGGAGCCTACCACAGAGGGCCTCTGAAAGACTCTACCCAGCAGATTATCAAAGTAGATGCTGAGACTCAACCAAACTTTGGTCAGAGTGCAGGGAATCTCATGAAAGAAGGGAGAGACAGAAATACCTGGAGGGGACAGGAACTCCACAGGGAGAGCAACAGATCCAAAAAATCTGGGCATAAGGGTCTTTTCTGAGACTGATACTCCAACCAAGGACCATGCATGGAGATGATCTAGAAGCTCTGCAGAGATGTAGCCCATGGCACCTCAGTCTCTAAGTGGGTTCCCTAGTAATGGAAATAGGGACTGTCTCTGATATTAACTCAGGGGCTGGCTCCTTGATTGCCTTCCCCTGATGGGCAAGCAGCCTAACCAGGCCACAGAGGAAGACAATGCAGCTAGTTCTGAAGAGACCTGATAGGCTAAGATCAGAGAGAAGGGAGTAGTATCTCCCCTATCACTGGACTTGAGGAGGGTCATGGAAGGAGATGAGGGAGTGGGGAACTGGAAGGGGTTGAGCGAGGGGCTACAGCTGAGATAAAAAGTTAATTAACTATAATATATAAAAAAATAAAATTAAAAAAAATAAGAAAGACCTAGAAGGACAGGAGCTCCACAGGAGAACAAAATAAAAGGGTCTTTTCTGAGACTGATACTCCAAACAAGGACCATTCATGAATATAACCTAGAACCCCTGCACAGATGTAGACCATGGCTGCTCAGTATCCAAGTGGGTTCCATAGTAAGAGTAACAGGGACTGTCTCTAACATGAACTCAGGGGCTGGCTTTTTGATCACCTACCCCTGAGGGGGGATCAGCCTTACCAGGCCACAGAGGAAGGCAATGCAGACAGTTGAGGAGACCTGATAGGCTAGGCTCAGAGAGAAGGGGAAGAGGACCTCCTCTATCAGTGGACTTATGGAG